CCCTCGGCCGGCGGCCTGCCCGGGGCCGCGACGCTGCTGGAGCCCGGCGCCCTGCGGCAGGCGGCCCGCCTGGGGCCCGGCGCCGCCCCCGGCGCGGAGCCGCCCGACGGCTCGGACCGGCCGGTGCTGCTGCGCTGGCTGGAGGAGCGCTGGGCCCGCGGCGAGGTCATGGTCAGCCTGGACCAGCTGTGCGAGGCGCTGGAGGAGCTGGGGGCCGGCGAGGAGGTGAGGGGCGCGGGGGTGGTGACGTCAGTGCCGGTGCCCCGTCTGACGGTGTCGGGGCCCGGGGCCCGGAGCCCGGAGCCCGGAGTCCTCGCGCCGGGCAGGGCTGGCAGCCCGCGATGCCCGCGGCCCTCCCCGCCGTCCCCCCCTGCCCCCCGGGCCCCGCCGTCGCTCGGCTCGCACGGCGTCCCCGTGACCGAGCGTTGATCGCAGCGCGCTGGTGAGGTGGGGAGCCCCGAGGGAGCCCCCCCACTTCCGTCCCGGCTCTCCGATCGTTTTGGTCAGCCTGGGCCCCTTGGCTGCCAGACCCGAGCAGGCGCCGAACCTAAATCCGTGTTGGGCCCACCTTTGCGAGGACAGCGACCCGCTGAGCGTCTGCGCACGGAGCTTGGCTTCTGTTGGAGGCAAACCGGACCGAGCTCTCCATCGGCCCGGGGCGCGGCCTGGCACACGGCACGTGCGCCACAGATGCTGATCCGTCAGCCCGACTGATGGATCGCTCGGGGTTGACGTGACCCGTGCTCCCCAAAAGGTCTCCAGGCTTTTTTCCCCACACAAATCACCGTCTCCCTTCCCCCCTAAACTTGTGAAGTTGAGTTTTTTGGCCCTGAACGCAGACTGTTGGATTTGTTCTACCGAATGTCGTCTTATTAAAACGAGCCGGTTGGGGTCATTTTCGATCCTGATTTCGATGCTGCAGGTTAGCTCCTTGTCTCTCTTTTGGTGGCCGGCTCCGTATTCGGGTTGTTAATAAAGATGCTAGGTAAGCCCCCTGGGGCCGAGCACAGGTCCCTGGAGTAGTCAGGAAAGGCTTCGAATGGGTGAGAGCAGCAGAGCTTAAGGAGGTGAGCAGAAAAGTGGGCATGCTTGTGGCCTCCTGAGTTAGGGCTTGCGGCCCCACCTCCCCTGGAAGCCTGCGGCTAGATGGGGGTGGGGGGCTTTAAATCTCCCCCGGAGGAGTTTATGTTCTATCCCAGCAGGCCCGTGCCTTAGGAAGGTGATCTTGGCGTTTATGGAGGAAGGCAGGGAAGGGACCAGGCCTTTATATAGTGTGCCAGGCACCGTGCTAAGTGCTTTGCAAACATTGCCTCGTTTGATGCTCGTAACGACCCTGGGAAGTAGGCGCTCTTTGGGATCCCCATTTAGTGACTTGCCCAGGAGCTCACTAAGTGTCTGAGGCTGAATTTGAACTCGGGCCTTCTAGCTGGGGAGAAAGACTACAGGCAGGAATACATAGCATCTAGTTGGGAAGTGATGAAGCCTTGAATTGGAGTTGTTGTTTGGTTTGTACCTGAATGGGAAGAAAAGTCCCCCGAGCAGTGTTGGAGAGGTAGCCGGAGGCAGTGGGCCGAGAAGGTGGGGAGGGGGGGAGCAGGGTTCGGGGCTAGTCGAGAGCCTGGGAGAGGAGAGGGACGGGGTGACATCTTTGGGGCGCCTTGTGGTCATTGAGCTCCTGGGTTAGGAGACACCGCAGAGAAGAGGGGGCCAGGAGTGGGCGCTGTGGAGGGATGGAGCCTGAGAAGGGGCAGGACAGGTGGGAAGCCAGGGCGCTGAGCTGTTATTTAGGAGGAATATGCTGAGAGAAAGGTCCAGAGCCAGAAGGCGAGGTGTAAACAAGGAAACCAGAGTGGAGGAAGGGTGGGGAGCCCGAGGAGGCCTCACACCCGTCCCTCTGTCTCGTTCCAAAGTGGCCCAAAGGTGGCCTGGGCATGGCGTCCGAGGCTGGAGGATGGCGTGGGGGTAGTGGGTGGGCCCTGGCACAGGGCCCTAGGTCTGGAGGCCCTCATTTGACAGAAGATTAAGGAGAAGCTGTTGGAAATGAAGGCACTTGGTCAACCCAGCTCTAAGTCCATGAGACTCATTAACGTTGGTTGGTTGGTTAGAAATCCATGTGTATATATTAAGCGTCTGCTCTGGGAGGGTCCCCGTGCACTGAGGAGAACTAGAGCGCCTCGAGGCTACACATATGTGCAGGGACAGGAGATCTCTCAGTCCTTGCTGTCAAGGAGCTCGTGAGGAGAAAGGGAACCTGGGGCCCAGCTGGGAAGAGGATGGAAAGGAAGGCGCCCAGCTGTCATGGGGCAGTTGACTGGGCTGTGCAGGTTTTAAAAAATGCGGCTAGAACAGGGACTCTCTAGGGCCGGGGCTGGGCCGCCTTGGGGGAGATGCTTGAAGGGAGAATGGCCAGGCGTTGACAGCCCCGCTCTAGAACGGACAGTCCCGCTTGGATTTCTCCTGGATCGTGGCTCTGGCTGGGGACGGGGAGGTGGGTGAGGCAGGGGACGTAGCTCCTCCGGTGGCTCTGGTCCGACCTGCCGAGGCCCGACGGGAGCCCTCTGGACCGGGGGCGCTTTCGGTCCCTGCAGTTTGGTGAGGAAGCTTGTGCCTTCTCTTACTTCTCCGGACTGGCGTGAGGGTGTGTCCCGGAGTGGTTCCTCATTCCTGGTGATCTGGCTTTCTGTCTTAGGCCAAAGTCTGACCAGTTCTGGCCTTCTTATCAGTAGAGGAGGCCGGAGGAGGAGGGAGAGCCTGTTTGCTCTTGGAACGGGATTTAACTGGCAAGTCCGAAGAGGAAATAAGGTGAAAGTGGAATTTTAATTTGTCAGCAGAAATGAGCCACCCTCAGGCTCAGGGAAGGACCAGAGGACAGTCAGCGGTGTTCACTGAGCATTGGGGGAACACAAAAAGGCAGGCACTCGTGAAGCATCGCGCCCGAGCTGTCGGGCTCAGCAGGGAACGGAGATTTGGGGTTCTTCTCAAAACATCAGGCAACCCCAGATAGCATCCCGACCACAGAGGGAGCCAAGGCCTGGATACCAGACGCCATCCCTCAGACAAATGAAGCAGTCACCCCGTCTTTGTGACCGGAGTCAGGCTTGCTCTTGGAGGGAAGACTCCATGGCCGGCTCCCCGACATTCCGGGGCAGAGCAGACTCCTCGTTCTCCACCCAGGCAGGGGCCTCCCCCGCCTCTCTGCTTTCCTGTTGACCCTCCTTTCTGCACCCGCCCCCAGCCCTGCAGTGTATGACAGAAGCCCCGCCGGGCCTTGTCCAGGCGGACTCCCTGGTGATAACGGGGCTCCAACGGGCACAGGGGGTCGCCGCCCCAGAGTGGTGGAAGAAGGTTGTTCTAATCTGGTCCCTTAGGGCTGCTCGCTTCTCTTTGCCTTCTGGCGATTCTCTTTTCTCTCGTTTGAACTTCACATTTCTCCCCAGCTGGGCCCTTTTCGTCAGGGACGCTAGCAGGTCTTCGCGCGGTGCTGGGCGCTTCTGGGTGTGCCGTTCTGGGCTCTCGCACAGCATCCTTTGCCTCCGGGAGGCCAAGCCGCGTTCCCGGCCCTCGTGGCTGCTGCGCTGTGTGGGATCCCTGCCTGGCGCCCCCGGGCTCAAACCGTCGCCCTCTGGCTGCTGACGGGGAGCTCTGGGCTTTGGCTCAGAGTTCGTCCGAGGCTCTTCACTGGGGGGTTCTTTCCATCTCCGCTTTGCCCTCTGGTTCGGAGAGATCAGGGCAGTTTTCACTTCTTGAAATAGGACGTTCTGGGCTCTTGTCTCGGTCAGGGCTTCAGGTGGTCCAATGATTACGAGTCTTGAATTTCCTTCTCTTTTTTCAGCCTTTTGCCTTTGTTTAAGTATTTCTCGCTGTCTCCCAGTCACTGCCTTCTTCCCAGTCCGTTCAAAATTTCAGGGAGTTTGTTGCTTGGACGAGATCTCGTGCCTGTTGCGCCAAGACGCTCGCTCCCTCTCTGCTTTTTCCTTCCCCGGTTCTCACTCCTTTTCACTTTTTTTCCTCTAGTGCTTTCGTTTCACTTATAAAAGCATTTTAAAACCACACTTTTACCTCGTCTCTTTCAGGAATTCTAGTTGAATTTGTGCCCAAACTTTGTTTTTCTTTGAGCTCTTACTTGCAGATGTTTTGGAGTCATTCTCTTCCTCTGACTCTCTATCTTGAGGGTCCCTGTCGCCACAATAGCTTTTCGTGGTGGGATTCTTCCAGCCTACTTCCTGAATAGAGCCCTAGAGCTGAAGTCAGGAGGTCTTAAGTTCAAATCCTGCCCCAAGCACTTCCTAGCTGTGTGACCCTGGGCATTTGCCTTAGTTTCCTCCACTGTAAAGTGGGCACACTGATAGCGCACATGTCGTCGCACAGTAGCGGTGGTGATTGATGATGACATCGCTGTTGTTGTTGGGGCTGCCTTCTGTGCGCTTCCGGGAGATAGTGGGCGTGGTCCTGTTGCTGCTTTCTGCGGGTGTTGAGTCTTCTCAGGGATAGCGGGTCCTGGGCCCCCGCAAGCTTTCAAGTCTTCCCCTGGCGGCCCAGTCCAGGGCAAAGTCTGGTCACGGACCCCTAGCCGAGCCCGAGCTCTGCAAGTTCCTGCCCCGTGTTTGGGTTTGAGCGAGAGCAGATGCAGTGGGCCTCATCCCCGCCAGCCAGCTGGGAAGCTCTTCCCTTGGCTCTGGTGTTCCTGCCCTGGGATCGGACTGAAATTGGAGCCACGAATCCTGCTCTGCCTCTGGGCTCCGAGCCACGCTGATGCGCCAGCTTCTGAAGCGGCTTCTCTTCCAGGGCCCCACTCAGCCTTTCCCTTCTTCCTCCCTGGAGGCAGGCCCCCTCCTTGGTCTACCCTGGAGCCGTCCCCCTCAACTGAGCCATGGGCCAGGAAACAGCACCCGTCCCCGCGCCCTGGACAGTGTGGCCCTCTTTGGACTTGCCCCAACACCCAGCCTCTGCCACGCAAGTGCGTTCTGGTGTCCGTAGGCCGGCCGGGCTGGGAATGACTCACTGTGGATTTTTCCTTTGATTCCCCCAATAGGACTTGGTGTGGGGAGGGGTTTTGGGGGGAGCTCTTGACTTCTTCTCGCTTCTCTGGCATCTGGTTTTGCCATCTTTTTCATGCTGTCCTTACAGGAAAAAAAGACTAAGGCCAGATGCCAGTGTCCTTGATTGGGTGTGGAAAAAGAAGAACATGAATGAGGTGGTGGTGGCAGGCCTTTCTGAAGGGCAGGGAAGTTAAAAAAAGTCCAGGGAACAGTCGCCACCCTGGGGGGCTGAGGCTCAGGCCACAGAGATTGGGGCTGGGCCTGCAGATTGTATGAGTCATTCACACAGAAATGACCGACCACGACGACCCCATAGGGAACGGTGCTTCTCTTCCTGTCTCTCCCCTTTGCACCATTGTCCTGGCCTCTGGGAGACTTCCCAAGAATGCCTGGGGCCCTCTCTATGCAAATGCCTCCCACCCATCTGTATATGTGTGTAACCCCCCACGCCCACGTGTGAAGGATGCCCAGAGAGGGCTGCACAAAAGGTAAAAATCATTTCGGTTCTATGAAGTCGAAAGGCCTCCGCGTGAACAAAGTCAGTGGCTCTAGGTCGGATGAGAGGCAGGCTGGGAAATGGTCCGCGGTCTGAGACGCGCGTGTGTGTGAGAGTAAGAACGTTCTGCGGGGCCACGTGGTGCAGAGAACATGGATGCAGATCCGGGACACTCACGGTGCAGACAGTCACTGAGCTTAACAAATGGGCAAAGACGGGACTCCTGTGTGGGTCTGGGAAGCCCTTGGGAATTGGGCTTGAGGAGTGAGGAGGACCACGGCCAGCGCCCTCCACCTGAGCTCCGTCTGAGCTCCCTGAGCACGTTCGTTCGTGGTCCTGCCCGGGAAGGAATGGAGATGCTGGCATGGGTGTGTCTGGGGCAGGGCTCAGAGCCTCCCCTGCCTCTCATCAGGGGAGTTGGACAGAATGCTGGGAGAGTGTGTGTAGTTTCTCTGGCTTCGCTTTTTCGCCTCAATCCTTGTTAAAAGGGATGCCTTGCTGGGGAGGAGATTGGGAAATGAATGTAACGTGGTGTCAATAAAAATGAGATGACATTAAAAAACCCAACACCACAAGAACTGGGGGGCCCTCTGAAGGGAGGAAGGGTCTGTGTGACAAGTACAGGGGGGCATTTCCCCAGGAGGGGGAGGTCTGAGAGGCTCGATTGTTGGCACCAAAGCCTTGGGGGTGGCTCAGGGCAGGAAGAAGAGGAGGAGAGGGCTTCTGTGTTGAGCCACGCTGCTCAGCCTTGACACGGGGTGCCTGGAAGGAGAGGCGGGGGTTCCGGCCACTTAGTATTTCAAGTGCAGGAAAGGGACGGGAGGCTGATGACAAGGGCCCTGGATGTGTATCATAGACACCCAAGGCAAGAGGGTGGTGGGAGCAGGTTGTCCTAGAGGCAGGGGCAGGGAAGATGGGGCCCCAGGACCCCGCGGCCGGCACAGCCTTAGCAAGGAGGTGGGACCTGAGGGAGGGCTCAGAGAAGAGGGAAGAGGGAGAGGCTCAGCCCCACACCCTCGATCAGTGTGAAGTCAGAAGTGAGGCCTTTGGCCTTGAGAGGTGATGGGGCGGGCAGGGGGATGTCACCTGAGGCCAGTGGAGAAGGCAGGAATGTCTGCCTGGAGTGGGCTGGAGTCAGGAAGCACTGAGTTCTAATCCTGCTCTCAAAGGCTTAGGAGCTGGTGACCCTGGGCAAGTCACTTAATTTCTGAGCCTCGGTGTCCTCATCTGTATAGCGAGATTTATTAGTGCACTTACCCACTTCGCACGACTGTTAGATCAGGTATCTGACTGTCTGCCAGCATCTGTGAAGGGTTTGCCTCATCTCTTTATCTTTGCCTCTCCCCCTCCTCCTGTGTCCCTTCCCCCTCCCCTCCCTCTCTGTCTCTCTGTCTCTTCTCTCTCTCTCTCTCTCTCTCTCTCTCTCCCTCCTCCCTCTCTCCCTCTTTCTGTCTCTCTCTCCTCCCCCTTTTTTCTTCCTTTCTCCCTCTTTTTTCTCTTTCTCCCCCTCCTCCCTCTCTCCTCCCTTCTCTCTCTCCCCTCTCTCTTCTCTCTCCTCCCCCCTTTCTTTTTCTTCCTTTCACCCTCTTTTTTCCCTCTCTCTCCTCCCTCTTTCTCTCCCTCCCCTCTTCCCAAGCCCACTCTCATTTCAGATGCTTGTTTCCTGCCTCGCCGTCATGTAAGCAGCCCTAGGGCTGTTGCAGGAGGGCATATCAGGGGATGGACGTTGCAAGGTGTGGCCTCCCAGGGCTTTCAGTGCAGGGAGGCGGCGGGAAGCCGCTGGCCCTTGCTCTGTGAAGAGGTTTGTGTTTGCCCCGCTAACTCGGCCGGATTTTCTCTGTCTGGTAGATCTATACGCATTTTGACATTGAGTGGAAGAGCACAGTGGATGTGGAGAAAATGCTGGAGACCCTGAAGAGCTGCAGGGGCACCAGCCTTCACGGGGAGCTGAGCTATGTCACCAGGAAGCTCCAGGCCTGCTCCCTGGCTCCTGGTGAGGCACAGTCAGTGGTGGCTGGGGCCGGTGTAGGGGAACCCTGCTGAGCCTGAGAAGGCAACTTCACTTGGAGAGAAGTGAAGGGGCATGATTTCTCTCCCTCTGGAAGGGCTGTGCCACGTCACGTTGGAGCACAAGGGCTGGTCACAGGGGCGGCCTCTTCCCACAGGGCCCCTGATGAGGAGGAGGAGGGCAGCCCACTGCCTCTCATGGAGGCCCCTCTGCTTAGGGGCAGACCTTGGTCTCCTGCGTCCTCCCCGGGGCTTCTCTCTGGGCTCCTGTGAGGCGTGTTTGTCCAGTTGCGGTTACTCTGCTCCCTCCTGCCCTCCCATAGCTGTGGTCAGCCCACACCAAAGGGCCTGGCTTATAGAATGTGGCCTTTGAACACATGGTGCTGGCGGACCCTGTGGCCAGGCTGACCCATCCCCAATCCAGGCCAAGGATAGTCCTTTAGAATAGCCGCGATGATGAGGGCGGGCTTCCAGAAGCTGCCCGAGGCTTTCCTGTCCTCCTTGGTGGACAGTGAGGGAACCCAGCCCGCCTAGGGGTCTCTGAGAAGATCAGCTTCTTTGGTTTATTTCTAACATTTCTCCAGCACCTTGAGGCATAGAAAGTACTTTCTGAACATTCATAAGGCACCCGAGTGGTGCAGTGGATAGATCACTGGGCTTGGAGTCAGCAAGACCCGAGTTCAAATCCAGCCTCAGACACATACTAGCTGTGTGACCCTGGACAAGCCACTTCACCCAGTTTGCCTCAGTTTCCTCATCTGTCAAATGAGGATCCTGGAGAAGGCAGTGGCAAACCGCTCCAGTATCTCTGCCAAGAAAACTCATGTGGGGTCACGAAGAGTCAGACACAACTGAAAACAACTGACAATATTACATAGATTATCTCACAACAATCTGAGGGCCGGGGACGGGGGGAGACAACATGAGAGGGTTATTGAAACCACTTTGTGGATGAGAAAACTGCCTGAAAAGAGGCCAGTGACTTTCCCAGGTCCCAGAGCAAGAAGGTGTCTGAGGTGCGATTTGAACTTGGCTCTTCTGGGGCCGTGGAGGGCTCCTGGGCTCAGGCAGCTTCTCGGTGTGGGGTGGGGGCAGGCCCGGAGCCCCCGGCCCTTGCAGGACTGTCCCTCTGTTCTCGTAGGGTTCGTCGACATCTTTTCTGAATCCAAGGAGAGCCTGGGTGCCTACTCCTCCACGATCTTGCGATTTCTCCACCAGAAGCGTGTCGCCAGCATGGCACTTCCGTATCCGCTCCTGGATTATTGCCACACCATCTGCGCCATGAGGTCGTCTGTGCTCAGAGAGTCTCTGGATCAGCTCGTGCAGAAAGACAAGGGTGAGGCTCTGCCCGCGGCTTCTCTGCGAACTTTGGCCCGCAGGCTCGCGAGGCCCCCAGGGGCCTGCCGGGTGACCTGGAAGAAGAGGAGAAGCCGTCACAGAGGAGATGCAGGAAATAGGCCTGCGGATGGCCTCACGTGGGACGTGGCCGTTGAGGAGATGTTTGGCGAGATCACTCTTACTGTTTGTGGAAAGGGGGAGGTTTTAACATTTTGGCAAAATAGCTTAATTCTGAGAGAGAGATTTCTACTGCTCTTTTAAGGCTAATGCCAGGCGATGAGCATGTCGGTCCTGGGATGGGCAGGGAGGTGTCTGAAGCCGCATCCCTGGTGGCTCTTTGAGCGGTGCTTGGGTAGCAGGGGAGTCTGGGGGTCCCCTCGTGCTTCCACGCGACCTAGGGCTGGGAGGTCAGACTCGGGCAAGGCTGTACCAGGCCACGAGGGCTTCTCACAGGTGCGTGGAGTCAGGTTGAGGGGAGCCAGAGACGAGCCAAGCTAACCCCCTGTGCAGACCGAGGTGCGGTGACTCAGCCCGGTCACACAGTCAGGAGGTGCCTGGGGCTGGCTCCGAGAGTGCAGGCTGACAGTGTGGGGTTGGGGTTTCCCACAGCCCTCAGCAGAATTGGGGGGGGGGGCCGCAGGCTGGGAACAGTAGTCCCGCTGGACCAGAACGGAGGTGGGAGGTGCTGCTGCTCACCCCATTTTACAGATGAGGAAACTAAAGCAGACAGGTGCAGTGACTCGCCCCTAGTCAGCACAGCCAGACGTTGGCTGAGGCTGGATTGGAACGCGGGTCTTGCTGACTCGGGCCTGGCGCTCTGCGCTGTGGCGCCCCCAGCCGCCTCTAGGTTTTGCGAAGGCGAGTCGTGGGAGGTACGGCTGGAATGTCGGCCGCGGGGTGGCGAGCGCCAGCTTGCGTGAGGCAACGAGAAGCTGCGTGCGCAGCCCAGAACGTTCCGGCAGCGGCGCGAGCCCCGCGGAGGAGGAGGAGGCTGCTGGGGCTGTGTGGGGCGCGTGTGACCCAGTCGCCTTCCCTTCGCAGAGGGCCCGGGGGAGCTGAGCCGCAGCCAGGAGTGTGAGGAGCTCAAGGCCGTCGCCAAGTGCTACACGGTCATCGAGACCTCGTCCAACTCCGCCGACATCGACAAGATGACCAACGGGGAGACGTCCTCCTACTGGCAGTCTGATGGCAGCGCCCGCTCCCACTGGATCCGGTGAGTGGCGCGCTGGCACCCCTCGTCGGGCGTCGGAGGCTGAGGACCCTTAGACCTTGGGGCCCTGCTGCGCCCGCCGCTGGCGGCCAGCTCCGGGGCAGGGCAGGGCCGCAGCCCAGGCCGCCTTCCTGTCCCTTCTGCCCGTGGCCTGGCTCTGATGGCTCTGATGCAGTCGGTAGGCCCCAGAGCCTGGCCTCATCCCGCGTGGGTCAGTCGCCCGGGGCTGACTCGCCTCTGCTGCTATATAAGGGGGCACCGAGAGGGTGTGACATTTGTCCGGCCACCTCCCTCAGTGGGGGGGTCCCCTGCGGGCAGTGCTTCTCCCTGGCGGGTACTGAAGCGGTTACCAAGGGATGTCAGGAAGGGCGGCTGTGCCAGGTTCTGTTGCTTCTAAGAGAGAAGCTTGAGCCTGGGTCCAGGAAGCATCCCACGTAGTGGGGTTGTGGACGGGACTTGGCCCTCGCCTTGGAGGATGCACAGACACGCGCACCGACGTTATCGATACTGCCACGGATTGTCTTGATGCCCTGTAGCGGTGCCGCCTCCTGCTTTAAAAGCACACAGGGCGTGACTGTGCGTCCGCCTCTTCCGGAAGGCGTGGCGGGAAGGCAGCCCGCTCTCCGCGGCCTCTTCTTGGCAGCTTCCTCACTCAACCCAGGTCTCCCTCGCAGCTTAAAGATGAAGCCAGATGTGGTGCTCAGGCACCTGTCCATCGCCGTGGCAGCAAGTGACCAGAGCTACATGCCGCAGCAGGTCACGGTGGCGGTGGGGAAGAACGCCGGCAGTCTTCAGGAAGTCCGAGACGTTCACATCCCTAGTAATGTCACCGGCTACGTGACGCTGCTGGAGAACGCCAACATCAGTCAGCCGTGTGAGTCCTTCGGGCCTTGCCCGGGGGCGGTGGGGTCTGGGGGTCTGGGCCCCTGCACGCCGGGGAAGGAGCCGCTGGTCCGTTTGGCAGAGGTGGGGGGAGCTGAGGCTCAGCAGCCTCCTTTAGCTTAGCGCACTCCCTCCGTTAGCTGCCTCACCGCACGCGCTTGGGGACCACTGTGGCCACTCCCAGGAAGGAGCGGGGCCCACGGCCTCGCTGCGTGTTTGCCCATGAAGGCTGTGCTCGAGCTGCCTGAATACTTTCCGGGGAAGATTGTCCTCAGTTAACTGATCGGGGACTTTGTAGGAAGCCGGCGATGGGGCCGAGCAGCCGTTTTCCCAGAGGCTTTGAAAGCAGAGTTCCACTGTGTCGGGGTCCCACCTGGGCCCTTCGGGCAACAGAAGCCCCCGGCGGGCTGCTCCGGGCCCTGCCTCGGCTGAGTGTAGAGGCCGGGGCGCCGCAGGGGAAGCGTTGACCGCCCTCCCGGGCACGTTGTTGTCCTTGGCAGATGTCCAGATCAACGTGAAGCGCTGCTTCAGTGACGGCTGCGATACCAGGCTCCACGGGCTCAGGGCCCTGGGTTTCCAGAGAGTCCGCCGAGGAGGCGTCTCGGTGTCGGACGCTTCTGCCGTCTGGTACTGGTCCCTGCTGACGTCCCTGGTGACGGCGTCCATGGAGACGAGCCCGGTGTTTGTTCAGACGATTCTGCAGAACACTCAGTAAGTGCCCTCCGTGCTGGGGCCGGCGGTGGGGTCTGCCCCATAGGCCGCGTCGCTCGGCACACGTCAGGAGGAGCGTGAAGACGTCATCTGTGGGAAGGGGAAGGGCTTGTTCCTTGGGGGCTGGGCGGCAGCCGTTCCCTCAGCCTAGTGGCGGTCTCTGAGGTCCCCTCCAGTCCGTGATGGGGGGGAGGTGGAGGGAGGCACGTCTTGTGATCTCACCAACGCGTGTGCCCTAAGCTCGCTCCGTCAGGAGTGCTGTATTTAGCTGGGCAGGACACGGATCATCGGGGCGAGTCCAAAGCAGGGTGAAGAGTGTGGAGTCCGTGCAAGGAGCAGGGCGGGGGTGCCATGGGGGACGTGCCTCCCGGCTGGGATCGCTGGTTGGGTAGCTGTGTGGAGGCGGGGAGAGGGGTCTGGAGGTCAGGAAGAGGGTCTCAGAGGAGATGTTGTGGGATTCTCTGGACAGAGGCCATTGGTTCTCCAGAGACGTGTTATGGCTGAAGCGTCGTTGGGTTTCTGGCGCTGTCAGTGGCAGCGTTCTGTTTGTTCTGCGCCGTTGCAGCCTTTCTAATGAAGAGCACTGAGCTTGGGGAGCAACCTTGTGAACAGAGGGGAGCCAGGCAGTGAGACCCCCCCCCCCCCCCCCCTCAGCCCGCTGTCTCTGGCTTTGCTTCTCCGTCTAGGAAAGCCCTGCAGCACATGCCTCCTCTGTCTCTCTCGCCGGCGTCGACCGACGGGTCCAGCTTCCTGTCGCCCAGCGTCCTGGGCGAGGTGGACGGCTTCCTAGTCAGAATAACAAGGTAGGTGCCCCCTTCCTGTCCCGCCCCCTGCCAGATGTCACTTCTCGACCTTCTTTTGCAACTTACGGTGCTGGAAAACACGGGGGCTCCTCTTGCTCAGAGGGGCAGTGACGGGTACTGCGTCAGCTGATGTGTCCGCGTAGGCTCAGTGCAGCCCAGAGTCGTGTCCTGGCGTGTCACCGGTTCAGCTCCTAGGGAGGAAGCTGTCTCAGGGTGGAAAGGGCTGCCCTGGCCCAGAGGGAGGCCCGACGACCACCCCGTGGGGCCTTGGGCCTTTTTGGTCCAGCCTGGCGTGTCAGAGTGATGAGGGTGGGCTCCCAGGAGCCTTCCCCACCTCTCCATGGCTGCTGCTGGCAGGAGCTGCTGCTTTCTGTCCTCGGGTTCGCGGGGTAGCAGCCTGGGTGTGAGGTTGATTGCCACGTCCGCGACTCTTCCCTCTGATTAGGGGCCCTGCCACTTGGGGGCGTAGGGGCCCCGCCCTGCATCTCTGGCCACACTGCTTTTCTCCTGCCTGACCCTCTCGCCTTCCTGAGGCAGCGGGGAGCTCAGCCTCGCTCACTCCCGGCAAGCTCTTCCCAGCACGGTCCACTCTCCTCCCCTTTCCGCACTGACTTTTGTGTCAGGTCCCCAGGACGGTGGAGGGGAAGCCTCGGTGGGCTTCAGTTAACGTGACATTCAGTCTTGGGTGGAAGCGCTTAGTGGACTTGAGGAGTTCACCCTGGGGGTTGTGGGTTTCCCCTGGGAGTGGGCCTAGGGTCGTGACAGTATCACCAGGTTCACTGCAGGCCGTGGCGGCCCCCTCTGTCATCTTCTGCGCCCCGGCCCCGAGCCGTGAGTGACGCTCCTGCTTTTCTCCAGTCCGCGTCTAGACGGTGGAGCCCTGACCCCTTTGCTCTTGGTTTGCAGTTGCCTGGCTAACCCAGAGGTGGAGTTGACTCTGCTGGCCTTCGCTCTGGCCAGAGGGAGTATCGCCAAAGTGCTCAACTCTCTGTGCGCCGTCGCTGACCGCTTGGACGCCACCTACCAGGCCTCGGCCCTGATTTCTTCAATGGCCACCGTTCGACGGACTCTGCTTTATAAATATGGTAAATGCTGCCGCAGGGCGTTACTCGACTTTCCCTGGGAGCTCGCCTTCTGGGAGGTGACGGTCCCCCCAGCGTGGCTGGCTCTGGGCAGGGGCCTCGTGGGCCTCGTGGAAGGTGGCCCTTCCGTGAAGGTCAGTCGAACCCTCCGAGAACGGGGCTGGTCTTTCGGGGGAGTCCCAGACGGGGGGCCATGCCCAGCCGCCTCACCTGTCCTGGGCGGAGGCGGCTGCGCCTTCGGCACTGCCCCTTCCTGCGAGCCTCCCTGGGAGGTCGTGAGCCGTCGTCCTGGAGCACGTCCTCTTCACCACAGCGGGCATAACGGTAACGCCCAGGCATCAATGGTCACGGCCCCGCGGCCTTCCTTCCTGGGCCGCCGCCAGGGTCCGCGGAGTGTCCGGCTTCGTTGTGGTCGGGCTCCTATGTTTCGATGGGGTTGTGGTTGTTGGCACGCCATGCCCTTCCCCTCTTGGCTGGTGGATGTGACCGGACCCTCTTTGCTTGCCAGGCAGGATCCTGCGGCCCGTTCTTCAGGCGTGCGACGTCAAAGGGAAAGAAGAGAGGTCGGGCCCGGAAAACCTGCTGGCTGAGCCATGGACCGGAGACGGTGAGTAGTGAAGGCGTGCCGGGCGCCATCAGAGCCCCTGGAAACTGCGTGGGGCTGACGCTGGGATGAGCCAGAGGTGTTCTGGCAGGCGCTGGGGGGGCAGCGCCCTATCAGGAGGCCCCCGCGGCTCCCCATTCTGTGCCCTCAAGTGCCACCTCACGTCCTCCTCGAGGCCTCTTTTGCCCCCTTTGCAAGATGACCGAGTTGAAGAATCAGCGGGGGTCCAGGAGGCCCTCCAGGCCACTCCACCCCAGAAATGAGGCCTGACTGACCCACCCCTCACCTGCTGGGACAGCTCTCCTTGTCCTTCTCATCTCTGAAGTGAGATGGGGCTCTCGAGCCTACCTGGAGTCACCACGGGGGTCCACAGAGGCTGGGGTCTGGCAACCTTGTCCGGCTCTCCCTTCGGTTGATGGGCCGGACGCGACGGTCTCTCGATTCCATCCGCCGGCCTTGCTCCGGGTAGCTCCGCCTCGAGCCCCTGCCCCTCTCTCCTGAGGCCCAGAGGGTGTCGGCCTCCGGCGTGACTCTGAGGCACCAGTTCCCTGCATTTGCTGCCTGGGGGCCGACTTCCCCCGGGGCCGAGGTCTGCGGGATCCCTTTTCATCCATTTTTCAAACTCACTCCTGAGGTGACGTGAGTGAGGGACGTCGCTGACCCCTCACGGACTCAGGCCACGCGAGGCGTTATCAGGAGATCCGTCTGCACGTCTGGGAACTTACTGACAAAGCACTTCGAAGCAGACTCCCTCGGATTTTCAGCACGTGTCTTAAGTCAAAGGGCACGCGGCTTCTGATGTCAGAAAAACCCAGACCAGAAGCCTCCTTTCTTGACGCCTCGCCTGCTCCTCGGAATCTGGTCCGTGGCGCCGGCGGAGCGATTGACGTCTGGTCCGGTTGGAGAGAATCCACCGGATGAGGAGGCCTGTGGCCCTTTGGGTGCCGGGTCGTCAAAGGCGCTGGTACCGTTTCTCCGGGAGGGTCGAGGCCTGAGGAGGAGCTGGAGCCACAACCTCTGCCTTCCTGAGGCCCAGCCCCTCTGGCGGGGTCCAGAGCAGAGCTATGTGTATTGGAAGGCTGGCCTGGGGCCGGGCGTGGCTCTGGCCGAGTCTTCGGAAGCTCCGCGGAGGAAGGTCGCCTGGCCTTTGGCCAGCTGACGTTCAAAGAACTTATCGTAGATGTATCTTCGGGAGCAGCTTCGTTCTTTGTCGTTTGTCACCATCAAAAGAGCCCTCGGCCCCGAATGTGAGCGCTGGACCATCGAATCCCGCCAGCGCCATTGATAACGGAAAGAGGAGCCTGAGGTCCCGATGGACCAGCGCCTGAGGCTGCGTGCTGGGCCCTTGCCACTGACCTTACCCCTCCTTCTGTCCGCCCCCCACCCGGCTCGGGAGTGAAGGCAGCGGCCTCGCAGTCAGGATGGGTGATCCGGAGAAGACGGGGCTCAGCTGGAAGCTGGGGCAGATTGCGCTGCCGTCCCGGGGAGCGGGCTCCAGAGCCGTCCCGCTGGGCCCCAGGAGTGGGGCCGGGGGCTCTGCCCGGCATGTTGCTGCTTGAGCTCGGTGGCGGCGGCTTCCTCCCATGGCAGAGAGCTGTGCCCTGGGGCAGGGGTGGGGACGGGCAGTGGGTGCGAGGCAGACGCTGCCCGGTGGCCTCTGGCTCAGAGCTGCTCTTGGCGCTGAGAGCTCACCTGGATTTTCTCGTCAGGTTTTCTCACCGAGACGGGCAAGACCAGGGCAAGTGTCATTTTCTCCACGGGCACGGAGGCGGCCTTCCAGGTCACGCAGCTGAGGATCAAGGTAGTTTCTGCCGGGGATCCGCCTCTGCCGCGGGGGGCGTCTCAATTGAATTTTGGAAATGAGCTGGCTTCCGCAGCCCCTGCTCAGGCTCAGGCCTCCCTTGGGTAGCGCCGGCTGTCACCGGGTCGGCGGCCTTGGCCCCCGCGGGCTCCTGGCTCTCTCGGAGGGGTCCTGAGAAGCAGGGGCCGTGGCCTCCGCCACAGGCCCACGCGCTTTCCCAAGGAGCTTCGGCCGGCGGTCACTGCGCACGGGAGTTTGTTGTTGAGGCCGGGAGACGAGCCTGTCCCTGTGTTCTGACCTTGGGAAGGGGAGTCTCGCGACCTCCCTGTCTTGTGGTCAGAGGGGAGGCTGGCCGCATCTCTAGCTAGTCCCTCAGGGGCCCCAAGTTTCTTCTGTGAGCATGGCTCTCTTTGGGGACATCATGGTGGTGGGGGGGAGGGGTCTGGGTCTCGAGCAGTTCCTCCTGGGGCTTTCCTCGGCCTGGGGAGGCGGGGGTCCGCTCCAGGCACAGAGGACACGATGGCCATCGTCCTCGTAGGTGGCGTGTATTTACGGAGCGCTTTAAAAACACCAGCTCGTTGAATCCTCACAGCCACCTTGGGCGGCGGGCCCTACTTCATGCAGATGAGGAAACTGAGGCAGACAGAGGTCATGATGACTGACCCAGGGTCAGCCCGCTAGGAAGGACCTGGAGATCAGGCCCCATGCTCCCTGGCCGGCCTGGTGGCCTGCAGACGTGTCATTCTTTTTTTTTTTTTTTAAACTTTTGTTTTTAAAACTTTGGGTTCCAAATTTTCTCCCTTCCCTTCTCCCCACCCGCCCTCATTGAGACGGCAGGCAACTCGATACAGGTTATAGATGTGTAGATGTGCAGAACGCTTCCATAGTAGTCATGTTGTGAAAAGCTAGGTGTGTTTCTCTTCATCCTGTCCTGCCCCCTGTTTATTCGATTCTCCCTTTTGACCCTGTCCCTCCTCAGAAGTGGTTGTTTCTGATTATCCCCTCCCCCAGTCTGCCCTCCCCTCTGTCATCCCCCTGCTCTCTCGTCCCCTTCCCCCTATTTTCTGTAGGGTTAGATAGATCAGACGTGCCATTCTTGGCACACGGTCTAAGTACCTTGAGGTCAGGCTCCACAGAGTGCCCGGCTGCCCTGTGGCTGCTTCCCAGACCCGCAGAAGCAGCCACTGCCGTGGCTTTTCAGTGTCTCGCGCGTGTCTTCTGATTGAAGGAAGCTGGTGGGAGGGTCAGACCGGTGTGGACGGTCCCAGTTCTGTTGTAGCTTCTGGGGGCTTTGAGAAGGAGCCCCTTTGGAGCAGGATCTCTGTGCACTTCCCAGGTGCGCCGAGGGGACATCGGGGCCCAGTGTGGCCTGGTGTTTACTTACAATTCTTCCTTGGAAAAGTTCCATGCCGAGGAGCACTTTAAAAGGTTCGAGAAGTATGACACATGGAAGCTCCAGGAGTTCCGGCAGTTTTTAAAAAGCAGGTAAGGAAACTGTCAACATCGTGGCAGCTCTGATCGATCCAGACCGTTACTTGGGGAGGGGTGCCTTCTCTGTGTGAAGGGTAGCGGCTGGGGAGGTCTTCTCGAGCCGCGCTTTCCCAGCTTGATGGCTGTGCTGGGTTTTTAAGAATTCCCTTTGGGACCTCTGCCCTTTCTGGTCCGGGCCTCCTTGTCCCTGAGAAGCTGCTGAGTGTGGCCCAAGACGATCCGGCGGCGGAGCTGGGCTGTGGGCCTCGGCCCTTCCGCACCATCCTGCAGGGGTTCCATGAGAGCCCCAGGCTTGGATCCAGCAGACCCCGTTATCTCGGGGATGTGTCTGTAAAATGGAGAGGATGTGAGGTACCCATGGGGCCTGCCATCGTGAAGGAGGTCGTGCCTGCTGGGAAGGGCTTTCGTCTGTTCTTACGTGGCCCTCACCATAGTGGCACAGACGCAGCGCGGGTAGCGGCTCAGCTCCAGGCACCTGCCTGGCGTCCTCCCCATCTCTCCTCCTTCCGCCTTCTTGTCCCAGGAGAAGGACTGTGACTCCCTTTACTGGGGCCCTCCCTTGCAGTTCTCGCTGCCGCCTTCCAGTGGTCACTGTCCTTCTCTAAGCTCCCTGACACAGGCTAGGAGCTCCGCAGGCCAGGGGAGGCTTCGGCCCTTTTTTCTGGCTCCTGGCACCAGAACGTTACTGACCGATGCCTTAGAGCCGCCCATGAGGGTCCCCCCACGAAGTCCCCGTGTCCACGGCGACAGCTCTCCTCTGTGCTTGTTGGTGTGTCCTTGGCCCCTCAGGGGCTCCACTCTCCCTGGTGGGGGGCGTTTCCTCCTGCCACTTTGTCCATCCTTTGCCACTTCAGAGCCCGGTGCTCAAAGGCTCCATCCTCTTCGTCCAGAAGATTTTGGCCATAACCGTAGCTGGCTTTTCTGTCCTGCTCCCTTTGATATCCCTCTGGATCCCCACAACCACCTAGAGTAAGCGTGCTACCAGGACTCCCATTTTACAGATGAGGAAACTGAGACTGAGCAGGGCTGGGCCACACAGCCCGTCAGGGTCCGTGGCAGGGTTTGTACCCAGACCTTCCTGACCCCAGCCCTCGGCCTTCTCTCCGGGGCCCAGTATAGGCCCCTGCATCTCTCACCGTCGGCCACCTGGGGGGATCTCCTTGTGACCTGGCTGGCATGAGTGTCCGCTCGTCCGAAGCTGCCTTTTTCAGGGGGTTGCTTGGAGTTAGTGCTGTCCTTTTCACAACTCCCTTCTTTTTGTTTCTGATGTGGAGCTTTGTGCCTCTCTTTTTTGAGGCGGGGCGAGGCAGGTGCTTTCTGCCCTTTCCTGGTGGTGGAGGCGCCTGTCGGTGTACCAGGGTGCGCATCAGTGGAATGCAGACACTGCTGAGACAGCACCCTGATTGCGCTCGAAGCTGCGGCACCCCCTGCCCCCCCAGTCCCACTGACAGGGGATGAAGCCTCGAATGCCACCCTTGCCCACCGGGAGGACCCTTCCAGCTCGGCTTTCTCCTGACGTGCATCTCGGCCCCTCCCTGGTCCTGGCCCGCGGCTCAGCCTCGTTCCTGAGCAGCCCCTCAGAATGGGGTCCACAGGCGACCGGTCTCGGGCCCGGTGGCTCCTCTGCCTTTGGCCTAGAGGAGATAGGGCAGGGTCTGATGGTTTCTGTGGCTTTCGCAGGGCGGGTGGCTCCCCTGCAGATCTCGGGGAGGATGAGCCGGCCGGCTGGTTCGAAGCCGAGGAGGACTGGGACGAAGTGGATGTGAAGGTGCAACAGTGCCGGGTGGCCAAGGTCAGGCCCGCACGCGGCCGCGCGCCCCGGGCAGAGCATTGGGGAGTTGCAGGGAGGCCCAGCCTGGGCTTTTGCAGGGGTCGGAGGGCTTTCCTTTGAAGCCGGGCTCATCCAGGCTTGTCCCCACTGAGCAGGGTTGGGGCGGTCCCCCAGGGCCTCCTCGCTGGGCGGTGTGGTGGCAGGCTGAGGCTGCGAGGAGCGGGGCTGGCCTCGGCCAAGACCCCCCCGGGGTGGCAGACCCACGGGAGCCCGGGGCCGGGCTCGGATGCTCTCTGAGGGCCCAAGCCCCTTCCTTCTGGGGGCGTGAGCCTGTCCCCCCCTTGGTAACGTTAGCGTTTGTGCGGTGGGGGGAGCCTCAAAGGCCCCCCCGGATCTCACGAGTGCTTGTGAGGTGTCGTCAGGCCTCACTCCAAGTCGTTTCCTCCTCGGTTCTAGTATTTGATGGTCAAGTTCTTATGTACGCGGCAAGCTACGGCTGAGCGCCTGGGCGTCCAGGGCCTGAGTGTGTACGGCTACCTGCGCCCTGCCGGCGTGGAGCTCGGCCCGAGCACGGACTGCGCCGCCTGTGACCCTGAAGCCAACCGCATCTGCGGCATGACCCTGCTCCTGAAGACACTCGCCTTTGTCCAGCAGCTGTCCCGGGACCTGGTATGGCGCCAGGAGTGAGCGGGGCCGTGCTCGGGGCTGGGGGATGGAGGCCTCCCTGCCCGGGAGGGCCGGGCTAGGCCAGGCCGGGGCAGGGGAGGAGGAAGGTTGGCATCATTCACTTCTTTCGCGGTGAGGTCGCATTCCGTTTCAGTCCCTGTTTCAACCATACCTCTTTTCTCAAAACGCAAGGCGCGACAGAGGGAGAGCGGATTCAAGCGCAAACCGCTGCTGGACACGGCTGGCCTCAGCCTGCGGCTCGTCTGGGACTTTTACAGCAAGCTGGAGGCCAGGTGAGGCAGGGTAGGCTTCTGGCCTCCCCTTCTCCACTCTGGGACCTCACTGCCCCTGCCGGGCTCGGGCCCTGGGCCCTCTGACCTCCTTTCCTTCTCCCTAGTCCGAGAGAAGAGTGCGTCCTGGCACGCATCATGCTGCTGCAGCTGCTCCAGAGCTGTTTGCCTGAGCTCTCGGCAGATCCCCAACCCAGCACCGCCACTCAGAGCAGCTGCAGCGCGCGGGCTGCACCGGAGGAGCTGTACATGCACCTGTGCCAAGGTAGTGCGGGGGGGGCTGGGTCCTTGACCTTTGGGGCCTTGACAGACCGGCCAGAGCTCCGTGGCCCAGGACGGACATTGCTTCGTCTTCGGGGCTGATCCCAGCGGTCCTGGTCCTGGCACCCCAAAGCGTCACCAGATCTTCTCCGAGGCCCGAGGACCGCTGCCTCAGCGCCTTCACCCCACAGCGTCATCCCTCGGGCTGGCGGGGTCCCTGTAGATTGCTCAGCGCCAAAGCAGCTCTCTGTCGGTGGCTGGTCACACCTCCCCCCTTGGTTTTTGTCAGTGGTGGACCAGGCCGGTGACGACTCTTGGCCGGTGAGAAGGCTCCAGGCGGAGGTGAGGAATACGCTTCTCCAGGGCGCCGCTGTCTTTTTTCCCGATGGCCGTGCCCGGCGCCGCCATCTGTTTGCCATGATGGTGAGTGGATAGGGCCTCAGGCTCCACAGAAGCCTGTGGGCGCTGGGGAAAGAGCAGAGCTTGGGATGAGGCTTCGCGGCCCAGCCCGTCCCTGGGGGCGAGGCTTGGCGGGGGGCCAGGGCTGGGGGTGGGGGTGGGGGGGCTGGACCAACCCAGTACTAAGTTCTTTGTCCAAGCCATCAGGTCTCTCCTGTGCCTGCCCCGGAGCCTTCCCTGGGGTCCTCTGGGGCCTGGCCTCCCTCCCTTCAAGGGCCTCTTTGCTAGTGCGTGAGCCTTGGCCCCAGCTGCTGAGGTTCAGGCCCCTAGCCCGCCGTGGAGATCCTGATTACCCAGCCTCTGGTCTGCCCCGGATGCATGGCCACGTTGTCCCCCTTTGCCACACGCGGCCTCGTTCCTCGCCGGGTCGTTCAGGGTCACCTTCTTTCTTGCTCCCTGACGTAGTTTTCTTCTGTGGGGTGTCGACCACCTAGGCGCCCTCTGCCCACACAGTCCTGGAGATCAGGCTGCCGGCGGGCGCTTCCCGGCTCCCTCCTGAGCTCTCTGGTGATTTCCATCTTGTCCTTCTTGCGCTGTTTCTGGCTTTCTGACTCCCTCTCCTTTGGCAGAGGCTGCACCTCCGAGCGTCTTGGCCTCATTCTGCCGTGTGACCGGGCCCAGCAGGGTGGATGCCCTCGTCCTTGGCTCCTCACAGACTGACAGGGGAGCCGAGGGGCAGTGCTTGTTTGGGTGGAGCTCTGTCTCCTCTGTCCCGCCCGTTGGCCCCGTGACCCAGAGGCCACCTTCCCCTCCCCCAGCCACCAAACCGCTCTCTGTGTCCCTCATGTTGCCCAGGCCGCTGTGGCCTCCCCTCCCCCTCCCCGCTGCCCAGGCACATCTGGTTGTGCTCAGGCTTTTTCTTCCTTCCTTACTTGTCTTGATCTTTGAAGAAAGAAAGGACCCTCCCCAGCTGGTTTTCTCGTAGGCACGAGGTCGATTTTGCCTTTGCCCTTCTGAGACGGAACCAGCCAGGGTGTCTGAGAACCAGTGCCTGGGGCTTTCTGAGCTCAGGCAGAAAAGCCCGAGGGGTGGCCCCTTCCTTCCCAGGGTCCCAGGGTTCCTTTGAGGAGATGATTGAGGCCCGTGTGGAGGGCAGGGATGAGCTCAGCCACTTGGAGTGATCCCTGCAGGGTGGCGCGGCCGTGTTCCTTGGTGTGATTGTGGGGGCCAGTGTGTGTGTGTGTGTGTGTGTGTGTGTGTGTGTGTCTGGTGTGGGGTATGTGTATGTGTGGGGCGTGTGTGGGGGGGGAGGGTATGGGGGGTGTCTGG